TATAAAGGCATAAAGCTGTAATATACATGAATCTATGAAATAATTTAGGAAGAATTAAAAGCATGTACAGTACTTTATTATATGCAGTGGAGGAACATATGTTTCTGCAAATATATTTAATAAACATTTGAATGCAATAAATAGGAATATATTTAAGAAAGATACGTGCTCGAATAAGTTGTAGATTGCACTGAGAATAATGTAAATATTGTATTATAAAATTGTAATACTGAACAACAGTTTCAAAGAATGTTTGATTCTTATAATCATGCACAATGAAAGAGATGATAGTATATATAAAATTTGTTTAGCGTGCACTGAAAGCATTTCATATGTATGTTAGCGTCTCTCTCTTCTCTATTGTTAAAACTGATTATGAACTTTCACGATGCTAAAGTTTTAAGGAAATCCAGAGACCATTGCAAGTATTATAGTCTCTCTTTTTCAGCATTCATAATTGCACAATGTTTCAATATTTTAGGATCGAAGTCTCACGGTGGTGCAACCTGCGCGAGCAGCAGTGCGAGTAATCAAGTTTTGAGTGTGAAGTCCAGCATCAGAGTGGGTAACGCAGCCAGTAATTCCGTGGAGAGCGGTGGGCGGGCGTTGACACATGACGGGGCAGGCACTAGTGGCATCACAACAACAGCCACTGCCAATCCACCTGTGTCTGCCACCGCCGCTGCCAACCTTACACACCCTTATCCTACGCACAAGCATATATTACGTTCTCGCGCAAAACTCACCAGTGAGCAACCAAAAGAACTGCCAAGTAGTAACAAAACTTCAGGAAAGCATCACAAGAAAGACACTACAACGGGTACTTGTTCAAGCTCCAGGTAATTAAGCAAAGTTACCTATCAAATATGTCATATTGACGAGCATCGCTGTAAGCATCTACGATCATTACAAACAACTATATTTGAATTACTCACAACTCATTCATTCCTATCGGTTAACATTTATCCGATAGGAATTTTCTAACTTCTATCAAATTTGCACATAATGTGCACTCTGAGAAAATACTACAGGACATTATATAAGACCATATAAATTTTTGGCATAAGGAAGAATTTTGCTTAACTGTATACAGTGTGTTATTGCTTACTTCAGGGGACATCTTTTGATGCACTGTCGTTACTTATTAACAATGTTACATTTGAAAATTCTAAAATTGCATGAAAATACCATCCATACCGACACATGTATAAGAACATTTTTAATTTAGTTTTATGGTTTATTAATAACGTATATTGCCCCCTATGTTTTGTATAATTTCTAACATATTTCATGTAATAGATTTGTATACATATTTTTGCTACTGTGCACTATTAAACTGCTTTCCTTCTGAGTAAACTTCTCTAGCGAGTATTCCCCAACAATTTTGTTTAATGTTCAGATCTGAAAATCTCGCGGACCATTTCCATTCATTTCCTTTCAAAATAAGTATTTATTGCTTTTACAGTGTACTCAGCTAAGTTATCTTGTTGGAAAACAAATTTTTATTTCGCTATATTGTGTGTATATTTTAATAATTGTCTATCGATTGTTTCTATATATATTTTAATATTAATTGTTGATAAAATGAACTCGATATCTGTTTTGTTTTAATAGTCTATAGCTGCCCAAATTGTTATGCCACCGCCGCTCATTTGTCACCTTTGAAGTGTGATTTTATCTTTACATAAGTCATGAAAATAATAGTTTACATCATCAGAGCCATCTCCAAATTATATCGTTTCTCATCAGAAAAAATTATTCTTTTTCATTTTTTGTGCCAATCTAATCTTGCTTCTTTAGCAGCTGGTTAGTGACAATTCCTCTTAGGAATATTATCTATGACGCTGTGGTGAAAAATATCCCAATAAGTAAACAATAACATACTTTGTATAAATAACAATGAACTACACACAGAAGAAGAATTTTCTTTTTACAATGCAGATTTGAATGATTTTATGTAGTGTCTTATAGTATCGTTGCGGAGTGTATTTCCCCGAATTGTATATTATAGTGCTATTTGGATAATAATCCTTGTAAATATAAGTTAAGAGATGTGCAGGTACAGTAAATTCTCCTTAATTGACCTTTAGCATGTATAAATTGTTCATTTTTGTTTCCAAGCTGAAGGTCAATTAGGTAGAATTTACTGTAATTGTGAAAGAAATAATTAGTATACGAGTATTATTAAAGCAGTAGATGTGTACAACATTATTCTTCATTACAAGCTTGTATAAAGTAATGATATAATAATAACTTTCTTAATTTAGACACCGCTCTTCGTCACGTGTACGAAAAGCAGTGTTGGAAAGTGGTTCCGGAGGAGTGGGAAGTGTAATGTCAGGATCTGAATCCGTAACTAATAGTGCTACTCCAACGTCAGTTTCATCAACAGTTCCTGTTAATCAATTAGTTACAACTACAGGCGAAGACGAATCAGCATCTACAGCTACATCTGCAACTGGTATGTTCATGTTACAATCTTCTTTTCATGGTGGTATTATCTGCCATGATACATTTAAAAATGATTTTTCTATTTATTTAATTAGCAAGTGGTGGGCCTTCTGGAATGTCTGCTACTACAGGAGATAGTGAAAGCGATGATGGCGAAGTTGGAAGGCTCCAAGCATTATTGGAAGCAAGAGGATTGCCTCCCCATGTATTTGGTGCATTTGGTCCACGAGTACAACATTTATTGAATAGAAGCATGGGTGCAAGTTCTGGTAATAGTTGAGTCCGAATAGCCGTATACCAGATTTTATTTAATCTTTTAATTTATAGTATATAATAAAATATGTACGCTTACAGCTGCAAAAGCACAACAGCTTTTGGCTGGACTACAAGCTGTTGATGATGAAGGCGAACAGTTACAGGCTGTTATTGGAATGGGTGAAATTCTTGTGATGGGGAATGAGGATACATTAACTGGTTTTCCAGTGAAACAAGTGGTTGCCGCTTTAATCATTTTGCTCGGAATAGAACACAATTTTGTAATAATGACACACGCTTGTCGTGCTTTAACTTACATGATGGAAGCTCTACCGCGATCGTCAACAGTTGTGGTAGATGCTGTGCCAGTGTTCTTACAGAAACTAGAATCTATCGAGTGCATGGACGTGGCAGAACAATGTCTGACAGCATTAGCCATGCTGTCACGTCGGCACAGTAAAACTATTTTACACGCGGTATGTACCATTATTATCCGAATGTTTTATATTGAAAGTAGACATAGTCATACATTTATTTATTTTTCTTCAGGGAGGAGTATCAGCTTGTTTGAAATTCGTTGATTTCTTTAATATAACGGCTCAACGGGCTGCATTAACCATTACAGCAAACTGTTGTCAAAATCTTCATCCTGATGATTTTCACCTTGTAGCTGATAGTTTGTCTTTACTCACTAGTAGACTGACAAATCAGGATAAAAAGAGCGTTGAATGTGTTTGTCAAGCATTTAGTCGTTTAGTTGATAGTTTTCAACATGATCCTGTTACTTTGCATAAAATTATCAATGCAGAACTTCTTCAAAACTTACAACAACTGGTAAGAATCATAGTTGTTTTCGTGTTTTCTACAACAATGTTATTTGTGGTTCTTAAAATATGCATTTTTTTTTTTTTTATATGTTAGCTTATGATTACACCACCTGTCAACAGTATTGGTAATTTCATAACAGTACTACGAATGCTCTCTGTGATATCAAATCGCTGTCCTGACTTGGCACAGCTGCTTTTGCAACAAAATATAGCTTTCACGCTGAGTTATCTTTTAACCGGTTCATTGGAAGTAAAAACGGAGGATGTAGAGCTTGTGCCGCGTTCTCCACAAGAATGGTTTGAAATTACTTGTTTGATAGAGGAACTGATGCCTCCACTACCAACAGATGGTATATTTAGTGTAAATAGTTTACTCGAAAGGACCAGTAATCAACAAGAAAATGTTCATTGGGAATGGCGTGACGAAAGACACTGTTACCATCCATTTAGTACTATTGATTCTAGAATTATTGAGGTATCAAGACACTTGCAAATTAATTAATAGATACTTACAATTTAAAAAAATCTACATAATACAATGAAATTATCTTTCACAGATGGCATTTCAGAATGGCGAGGATGAGATTTGTCTATCTTCTTTAGGACGAACTTATACAATAGATCTAACTGTGATGAAACAAATCAATGAAGACATTGGAGTAGCAAGAAGCATTTTTCGTAGAGTAAATACTCATCCCACAGAAGGCAAAAGTCCTACTTGTTTGTCAAGGTATTCACTAACTATTTAAAAAATGAATAATTACATTTATAAGGACGTATTTCATTAATTCATATATTTCATATAGCATGGATGTTGTACCTCCAGTAATCGAAACAAACGAATGGCTAGTGTCTTTTATTCGGACTTTATTCTCTGTGCTGTATGAAGTATATAGTAGCTCCGCTGGTCCTGCAGTAAAATGTAAATGTCTGCGAGCTCTATTACGTATGGTCTATTATGCTTCAACTGATTTACTTAAGGTAATTATAACAAAATTATAGTACAGGAATATTTATTTTTTTATGTTTAAGTTTTTAATTTTTGTTTTTAATATCTTCATATTCCTGCAGGATGTCTTGAAAAATCAAGTAGTATCATCACATATAGCGGGTATGCTAGCATCCCAAGATTTACGAATTGTTATCGGAGCTCTTCAGATGGCAAGTATACTAATGAAAAGGCTACCACAAGTGTTTGGAGTTCATTTTCATCGCGAAGGTGTACTGCATCAAATACGACAACTAGCTGATCCTGAAGTACCTCTTGGTGTTTCGCCACCCAAGTGTCCTTCTGGTAATTTAATAAACCGACATCCAAGTTCATTTCTTGTAAAATGTAATAATATTTCGTTTCTAAATATAATGTAACATTTATATTATGTTTCTACTACTTTCTTAGGTACATCATTACCAACTCCACAGCCAGGTCCATCTAATACATCAATTTCTTCCACCACAATGTTGTCTTCTAGTAACGCCACATCTCCAATAGCTTCTCCATCAACAAACGGTAACATATTATTCGGTACAATTGCAACGTGCCAGTTAAAACCAAATCTATCTGCGTCGATGGAAGCACATACCAGGAATGAACTGAATTCCATAGATGACGTCTCAACGCCACAAAGTGCCCACGTGTAAATATATAAATATATAATAAGTATATAATTACATATACGTATAAAAAATATGTAAACAATTAAATAAAAACATATTAAATATATTTATTTTTGAAATTTATAGGAGAATTGGGGATGTTATAAGGAGAAGACGGCAACAAGGCAAAAAGGGTCGTTTTTCTAGATTAGGCGGTACAACACCACAACAAACTCAACAACCTGAATCATTATTCACTGGTTTCGCTCCTAAGAATAACCGTTTCTTAGGCAATCTCAATCCCGCAAGATGGGGTCGGAAATCATCGTCTTCGAGTTCTACAAGTGATAAAAGAGATTCAAGCTCATCAACAAGTCTCTCGAAACCACCGAGCAATTCGAGCTTAACCGCGGGTAACCGAGACAAAGCCAAAACATGGGTACGTGAACAGGCTGCTCAGTTCTTGACTCGTTACCAGGATAATGCTCCTTGCACACACCCTGCTATGACGGTTCTTTCGAGACTCACTGCTGCTATACAACGGTTACAATCAAATGTATGTATAATTAATGTATGGGATTAACTGAGAAAAATATTATACTTCCGGATTTATGTAGTATGTATAATTCATTCTATATATTTAGATTACTATGTGATCACATTAAATTAATAATTCACTTGTTAATAGGAATTGGACGAAATGTTGTCAGCACTTACTGAATTGAGAGATATAGTACTTGAGAGTGATATATCTCCATTTGAGATGAATTATAGTGGTCTTATTAAAGCTCTGCTCAACTACCTCACAACTACAGATGCTCCTGGTAATCGTTATGATCGTCTTCGTATGTTCTGGAAATTGTTTGCGGATTCAACTATTGTAAGTAAATTAAAATAGCTTTTATTGCAAAAAAGAAACAGCTTTTCAATCATATGTAACATTCAGATGCAGCAGAGCAACAGTACTATGGATCTTAATCCTGGGGCATTCGGTGCTCTTGTTGCAAAATTGAATAGTTGTGTTGCACAGTTGGAACAGTTCCCAGTAAAAGTTCATGACTTACCGGCTGGATCTGGTGCTGGCCGTGGAGGCACTAGTGCTCTTAAGTTCTTTAATACACATCAACTTAAGGTAACTTTTTGACTCCAAAGTTATTTATAAGCTATTTAAGTGTAGAATTTATATATGCAACTTCTAATTATTTCGTAGTGCAATCTTCAACGACATCCGGATTGCAACAATTTAAAGCAGTGGAAGGGAGGTACCGTCAAGATAGATCCTCTTGCATTAGTACAAGCAATCGAACGATATTTAATGGTTCGCGGATATGGTAGAATACGCGAAGCAGAATCTATGGTTAGTGATGACGATAACAGTGAAGACGACATTGATGATACTCTGGTAATGTTTTCTTTTAACATATAGTAAATTATAGTAATCTATAAAAATTCAAATTCAGTAAAATCGTAACTTAGCAAGAATATATATTTAATATACTTGAAGATATAGGATATTCGACAATACATAGAAGAAATTTAGAGATTGATTTTTTGTGACAATATGGATACACACATAAACTTACTTTTTTATGTACTTGAACTTATAGGCTGCAGTAGTTATAAGTCAAGGATCGGCAAAGCATAAACTGCAGTTTTTGATCGGGGATGAAGTACTGCCTTTCAATATGACTGTATATCAAGCTGTCAGACAATTTGGTTGTTCTGGGATTGATCATTCTGAGGCAGAAGCTGATGGTGAACCACCTCTTGGTCATGATGCTGTTTGGGTGCAAACGCATACAATTTATTACAGGTGTGCTAATTATTTTATTTATACTTCAAATATTTGCATTGCTATTAATATAAATTGGAAATTTGAATATTATAAACGTTTTAGGCCTGTACCAGAGGAAGAAACTACAACATCACCAAAACCAGGATCAAGTTCGCAAGGTAATAGCCGTAAAGGTAAAGGAAAAAGTACAAAGATCAGTTCGAAGCGGAAAGAAGATAGCTTATGGCTCGAAGGAATAATTCCTCCACAACGATGTCCACTTGAACCTTACCTGTCTCCTATTCTACCACCTTCAGTTACCATTAGTGATGCTTCATTAGATGGTTTGTGCCTATTGCGTCTTCTACATTCATTAAATCGTCACTGGGGTGTACTCTTTCCTTACATAAAGAGAGTGAATCTACTTTCTCCGCAAGACTTTATTAATAGTAAGATAGCTGCAAAAGCGAGTAGACAACTGCAAGATCCGCTGGTAATCATGACTGGGAACTTACCTTTGTGGCTACAACAAATTGCTTCAGTGTGGTTTGTATATCAGATAGTAATACTAATACATCCATGCAAATTATTTAAAATATATATATTCCCAATTATTTACAGCCCATTCCTGTTTCCATTCGAAACGAGACAATTATTACTCTATGCAACATCATTCGATCGGGACAGAGCTCTACAACGACTTCTAGACTCTGCACCAGAATTATCAGGATCAGACAGTCAAGAACGCGTTACTCCGCGTTTGGAACGAAGAAAAAGAACTATATCGAGAACTGACATTCTCAAACAAGCGGAACAAGTTATACAAGACTTAGCGTCTAGCAAAGCCTTACTTGAAGTGCAATATGTCAATGAGGTTTTTTTTATTTATTATATATTTATTTATGTATATATACTTGTGTACACTGCTATCTAAAAGTTTGAAGTCACACATTATTTGAATGAATAATTGAAGGGAAGAAGGTTGCCGAATTTAATACGATATAGAATTAATTGATAAACCTAAACTTTTAGATAATAATGTATTTATCATTATTTTTATACAATTCAATATTTAAACAACATATGACGAACTTTTATTTTACAGGTTGGCACCGGTCTTGGTCCAACATTGGAATTCTATGCTTTAGTCTCGCAAGAATTACAACGTAGTGATCTGGACCTGTGGCATGGGAGTTCAAATCCCACTGAAACAGGATACGTTAATGCTCCGCATGGACTTTTCCCAATGCCAATCTCATGGAATACTAAAGTATCTCATCTTGCAAAGCTTAAAACAAAGTTAAAATTCCTCGGAAAGTTTATGGCAAAAGCAATCTATGATTCAAGAATGGTATTTATAGTTCTTTACACTCATTGAATTTTATCTACAGTACAGTATTAAAAATATTGCATTGCAATCTTTTTACAGTTAGATTTGCCATTTAGTTTAACTTTCTATCGTTGGTTATTGGGAGAAGAGCATACTTTAACCGTGTCAGACTTAGCATATGTGAGCCCCGAAGTACATCGAACTCTTAGTAAACTACAAGAAGCTGTTAGACAAAAGGAATCAATGGAGAAAGATCAAACATTGAGGCCACATGAAAAAGCACAATTAATAGAATCGTTAAGTCTAGATGGTTGTCCGATTGTAGATCTTGGCCTTGTTTTTGAATTACCAGGTTACGAAAACATCGAATTAAGAAAAGGTGGAAGCGATATACCCGTTAACATATATAACCTGGACCAATATATCAAGGTACTTTATTTAATATCCAAAATAAAACAGTATTTTTAATTATTCGTTATTTTTGGGACTGTATCTCTAGTGGATGGGCAGAAGAGTATAAGTCGAATTTTGACCAAAATAATATAATTCGCAAAAACTAACATCTAATCTTACGTTACACTTTAAATTTACTTTTTTGAACATCTAATAATTCGGACTTATATTACTTCGCCCGTCCATCAAAGATATAAAACAATATAAAGTTTACCTTTAAAGGTAATAGAAGGTTACTATATACACACATTAATCATTCAATCTGTAAATACCAACACGCAAGTTAACTTCACTTAACAGGTCATTGTGACTGGCTACACAATTTTATGTTCGTCATAAGACTAGCCCTCCTCCAAAAAAACAAAACCAGTTCTGTTTAAAGCATTTCTTAAAATAATGAATAGTTCGGGAAAAAATTATGTAAATCATAACATATAAAATTAATTTTTCAGTTGGTGGCACATTGGTTTTTGCACGAAGGTATCTTCAGGCAAATGGAAGCTTTTCGAGAAGGATTCGAATCTGTATTTCCGCTATCACAATTAAGACTATTTTTCCCTGAAGAACTCGAAGCTGTGTTCTGTGGACATGCACAAACTGGTGGCAAGTGGGATGTGAAAACACTTTCGGAATGTTGCAGAACTGATCACGGCTATACTCCAGATTCTCGTGCAATTCGGTTTTTGTTTGAAGTTATGTCAAAATACAGCAGTGAAGAGCAGAGGCAATTTGTTCAATTCGTGACAGGTTCACCGCGATTGCCAGTTGGAGGTAAACAATTTATTAGTTGCTGCTTAAGTAATTTCATTTTTTCTCATGCAGCATTTAAATAGTTTTTAACGTAGAATAATTTATCACTTAAAATATTAGTGTAGTTTTGCAAGATCTATAAACAAAATAAAATGAATATTCTTTTGTAGGTTTTAAGAGTTTAACGCCACCGTTAACAATAGTGCGCAAAACATTTGATCCATCTATGAAGACGGATGATTTCCTGCCGTCTGTAATGACTTGCGTTAACTACTTAAAACTGCCGGATTACACAACCTTAGAAATAATGCGGGAAAAGTTGCGAATAGCTGCACAAGAAGGACAACACTCGTTCCACCTTTCCTAGAAACGGAGGAAAAATCGGCGCGCCATTTGCTCTTTTGCTATCACATTGCCCAGGTTGAGACCAATTATCCAAACCACATTTAAAACATTAAAAAAAAAGGAACAGCTTCAACTTCGAAACTCAGTAACTACAGTTTTGCACTTTATATATAACTTTTTTCGGAAGATTATCTTTAATTTTTAATTTCAGTGACAATTTGTTTAAATAAATCCTAACATGATGTTTGTCTTTTTTATTCATATATTCATATTGTAATATATTTTATCAAAACGAAAGAAGAAGTGCAAAATGATATTAGCTGTACCGTAATGAGTTTCCCATCTTGTGGTATTATGAACTAGGTAGCGTGAGAGCAGTCTTGTTCTAGGAAACTTATCTTTGATGTGTTACAATAATTAATAAAAAAAGTTGTATATATAGTTTAATATACGCAAGTCTATATAAATACTTTATATGATAGTAACAAGGAAAATGATATTGCTATAAAACTCTATAATAATTAAAATATAGTTTGAAGGGACGTTTACTAGGTATAAGTAAATTTTATATCAGTGATGCATTTAGCATCGCCATGAAACGCCAATCTCATGTCTCACGAATTTGCAAAGTTGTGTCACATGAATTAAACAAAATCTGTAAGCAAAACATGCGCTATAAAATAAGCGTGAACCATGATTTATCACCACTTAAGCTAAAACAAAAAAAATTATGAGTTTGAACGTAACAACGTGATTAACAATTGCCGCTTTATTTTCTTAAATCGATCTCGTTTATGTTCGCTGCTTTATTCCCAACGTATCTGCGAGCACTGCGCGAACCGATGTGCAAAAACACTCATATTTAAGTTCACTCGATGTATCACCAATTAAACTTATTTGATATTTTTATTCTAGGTAAGATAGTCCAATTAATACTTTACTTAGTCGTGTAAAAGTGCAGCCAGCATCGCCAGACCGAGTCACCATTAATGACACGTGAATCGAAGAAAAAAAATTCTTATATCCTACTTACTTACAGGCAAAATATCTATTTATGAGAAAAATGTACGACAAATGTATAATATGAAATAGAATGGATATAAAATCAGCGAAGCTGGTGTATCAAATGGATTATACAAGGTACATTACTTTCTTATATCTCTGTAGAAATGTGATTCTGAACAGACAAAATTGTGAAAATATGAAATGATCAAAAGTAGATGAGAAAAAGAAAGGAAATGACACGCGACTATTTGTTTTACATTTATATTGTGTACCATTGCTTGAAATGATGAATATATATACATCACTTTTTGATTTTTAATTTTATGTACATATAAACGGTCAGTCGTCGATGCATTGCAACGATTACGTTCATGTGTACTAATTACCGTTATTAACTGATTTTTTTAAAGATAAGACTAAATTGCTTCGAAGCTCTATCGTACCATCCCTTGCGAGCATTTTCTTTTTAGCATTATACTTGACAGGTTCATTCGACCGTCATCTAAATACTCTTCTATTCCGTAATTTTACATATTTTACGATAAAAGTGAAAACAAGTCACACTTATATTTTTACATTATATTTCTAACATGGATAACGACGAATTTCACCCGGTAATGTATACACAATATAGAAAAATAACCGTCATTAATGAAAAACAATTTTAAATATTCACGATACGGAAAAATAGAGATGCAATGTATAACGCCTAATGGTTTAAGATACAATCTAAATCTTTATCGGTAATATTATAAACAAATGATATATTTATATATCAATTCATTAGTATAAATGAGTTTCATTCAAATGAGATTTTGTTTCTTTGGTAGTCTTCAATAAATTTAAACACAAACGTGTTTGCCGGCGAAATATTCTTTCTAGTCGACATATATCGTAAGTGAAATACATTATATCATTAATAAGTATTTCATATTACGGAATATCAATTTATTACAAAAGTACATTAGTAGAAGTATATACGAATGTATAGAAATTTTGTATTTAGTTATCCTTTAACACACAAATATCACAATATCCATATTTCTTAATAACTTAAATGCACATACTTAACCACCCTACAATGAAACATACCCCCCCTATTGGCGCGTATCTCCTATATTTCCCATCACCTGTAAATGCATAATAATACAATGTTCCCGAAAACAGTATTATGCCAGACATAAAAAATACTGCACCCTAAAATTCATATGAAAAATTAAATCAGTACAATAATGGTAATAAATATTCATGAAAATTACACTGTCTATAAAACTTACCAAAAGGGGTATTCTTGTAAGAGGTAATCCAAGAATAGCTAATGTATGCATAAAATGATAACGATTAGCCGTTTCAAATACTTGCACCTGGTCAACTTTCTTGTCCTCTGGGTACTTCCCTGCAGTTGAAAAAAAATAAATATTATCTACTATATTATATAGAAATACTTCATGGTGGTAGTAAAGAAAACTTTAATTCATTAATAATATACTATAATATCAAAAATTTGCTCAATGTGATCAAAATAAAATGTGTTTACAGTACACAAACATTATATGCATATAAACTTTTGGAACAATGCCCTGAAATTGTAACTGTTAGAATTTCTTTAAATGATATAAAACCTATAAAAAGTTATTCTTTCTTACTATGAGCACCATAAGCCCCAAGTCCGACAGCAGTTGCTCCACTCAGAGCAGCCAGCTGTACATACGGTCCTCTCTGTGCTGCCAATTCCCATAACTGTTTCATCGTTACTATTGGGTCATTAGGTGCAGGTAAAACATAAGTTAAGACCTGCAAATATAACATTTATTATTCACCCAAATGCATATCTTATTATGTTTGTAATATAAAAGGTAAGTTAGTTTTGTTAAGTTAATAAATTTTAGGACGTACATTAGCGTTAGTTACGAAGACTGAAATTACAAATGAAAAATATAGGAATATTATCAATTTTATCAAATACATATAAATTCAATATTTGTTTAGCTTACAGATTCAAAAGGCTATAAATGAATCTTAGAAAGACGATTAATAATAAGAAAAAATTATACACTATCGTTTGTTTTATCAGAATTTGTATTGAACAATAAATTTTATTCGGACACACAAAGAGATGTTAATATTTCTCAAGAATAACTCGGAAATAAACAATTGTTATACATTAATTGTTAACAATAATTGTTATACCAATATCTAATCTCTCCAGAATTAAAACATAAGTATTCATTACTATTAAGATTTCTTTATTCATCTATTCTAACGCAGCATATTGCGTATGCACTTTATTTTCAGAGAAGAAATTCTTTATACTTGCAATTGAAAAGAAAACTACTTACTCCTCCAGTCGTACCCAAAATATACGATGCTGTGCCAGCAATTGGTTTGTATAACGTATTACTTAATGTATTTAGATATTGCATCCTTTTATGCTAGCCAGCTCAACAAACGGTCGAAGCCCAGTTCTGCTCATTGACTCGACAGCCTCGCGCCAACTGATCTCGCCTCTCATTGGTCAGTGTTTTTCGTTAATAAGTCGTAAACAAAGCTTGCATTTTCGCTAAGGAAAAAATTACTTCGAATAACCTCAGGAACTCTTAATTTCCTGGAAGTACCATAATTTTTGGATATCTTGTATGGATTGATGCGCCGAAACTCGGATGCGAACATTCTCATGCCTTTTCATATCTCGTATTCGTATCCCCTCTGGTACATATATCATATACGCACATATGCACATGATTTAAAATAAAGAATACATTCCATACGTATGTTTTGTGATTAGTAGGTATGTATGTATATTATTATTTAATGATTTNTGATAACGATTAGCCGTTTCAAATACTTGCACCTGGTCAACTTTCTTGTCCTCTGGGTACTTCCCTGCAGTTGAAAAAAAATAAATATTATCTACTATATTATATAGAAATACTTCATGGTGGTAGTAAAGAAAACTTTAATTCATTAATAATATACTATAATATCAAAAATTTGCTCAATGTGATCAAAATAAAATGTGTTTACAGTACACAAACATTATATGCATATAAACTTTTGGAACAATGCCCTGAAATTGTAACTGTTAGAATTTCTTTAAATGATATAAAACCTATAAAAAGTTATTCTTTCTTACTATGAGCACCATAAGCCCCAAGTCCGACAGCAGTTGCTCCACTCAGAGCAGCCAGCTGTACATACGGTCCTCTCTGTGCTGCCAATTCCCATAACTGTTTCATCGTTACTATTGGGTCATTAGGTGCAGGTAAAACATAAGTTAAGACCTGCAAATATAACATTTATTATTCACCCAAATGCATATCTTATTATGTTTGTAATATAAAAGGTAAGTTAGTTTTGTTAAGTTAATAAATTTTAGGACGTACATTAGCGTTAGTTACGAAGACTGAAATTACAAATGAAAAATATAGGAATATTATCAATTTTATCAAATACATATAAATTCAATATTTGTTTAGCTTACAGATTCAAAAGGCTATAAATGAATCTTAGAAAGACGATTAATAATAAGAAAAAATTATACACTATCGTTTGTTTTATCAGAATTTGTATTGAACAATAAATTTTATTCGGACACACAAAGAGATGTTAATATTTCTCAAGAATAACTCGGAAATAAACAATTGTTATACATTAATTGTTAACAATAATTGTTATACCAATATCTAATCTCTCCAGAATTAAAACATAAGTATTCATTACTATTAAGATTTCTTTATTCATCTATTCTAACGCAGCATATTGCGTATGCACTTTATTTTCAGAGAAGAAATTCTTTATACTTGCAATTGAAAAGAAAACTACTTACTCCTCCAGTCGTACCCAAAATATACGATGCTGTGCCAGCAATTGGTTTGTATAACGTATTACTTAATGTATTTAGATATTGCATCCTTTTATGCTAGCCAGCTCAACAAACGGTCGAAGCCCAGTTCTGCTCATTGACTCGACAGCCTCGCGCCAACTGATCTCGCCTCTCATTGGTCAGTGTTTTTCGTTAATAAGTCGTAAACAAAGCTTGCATTTTCGCTAAGGAAAAAATTACTTCGAATAACCTCAGGAACTCTTAATTTCCTGGAAGTACCATAATTTTTGGATATCTTGTATGGATTGATGCGCCGAAACTCGGATGCGAACATTCTCATGCCTTTTCATATCTCGTATTCGTATCCCCTCTGGTACATATATCATATACGCACATATGCACATGATTTAAAATAAAGAATACATTCCATACGTATGTTTTGTGATTAGTAGGTATGTATGTATATTATTATTTAATGATTTTCTCTTTTATTAAAAATGGGAATCCCTATAGATATATTTTCATTCTTATTTATCCAAAATGTTTGTTCAATTTCTCTTGCTTTATCACATACCGGTTGAAAAATCAATGGCTGTTTTCTCTGAACGTAGAAACATACAACACATTTGAACAAGAATCAAATACAAATATGAGTGCCAAGTATAATTCTAATGTCAATGTCATATCTTATTAAGTGTACTATCAAAAGTTAGGTGCTTTGTAATCTCAGGAAATATTGAAAAAAGTTTGACAATTTTTTGTTTGAATTACGCTTTTGGAATGTGCTTGAAAAAAGTACACTTCTTTTCACACGTTTATTCTAAAATATAAAATTATATATAAATAATAACAAACAATTACAGTGGTGTTATAGAAGAATAGTCACAAAACAAGTATAATTAACCAGAATGTCAACTTCAAGAAAGACTAAAACAAGGCGTGATAGTGAATCTCCAGACATTAATGCTAAGAGAATAAAAATTTCAGAAGAATATTGCGAAGATACAGAGTATAGTGTTGCAAGTACAATTGATACAGCACTTGATATTTCTGAAAAATTGTTATTATTGGAACGTAACTTGACTACCGAATTAGGAAATATCACATTTCGTCTACCTGTAGAATATGTTTATAGCCCTCTTGAATATGCATTTGATGTACATGCTAAATATGTCAAAAAATATTGTTCTACTACAAAAAGGATTTTATTTCTTGGAATGAATCCTGGTCCTTGGGGCATGTCTCAAACTGGTGTTCCATTTGGAGAAATAAGTATGGTTCGTGATTGGTTAAAGATTTGTGGACCAGTTGGAAAACCTGCCAAAGAACAGCCAGATAGAAAAGTAACTGGATTTCAATGCACACGTAGCGAGGTCAGTGGAAAAAGATTATGGGGACTTTTCCAAGAATTATGTGGAAATCCAGAAAACTTCTTTGAACATGCATATATACATAATTATTGCCCTATTGCATTCATGGATAAGAAAGGGCGCAACATTACACCATCTGAAATAAAGGTAATATAATATAATAATATTATAATAAAATATAATATTTTTAATATAAAATTATGTATATTCATGTATACTAAATAGTTTGTATCTGTAGGGAACTGAAATACAAAAAGTACACTCTGCTTGTGATAAAGTTTTGGCAGATACAATTCGACTACTAAAAGTAGAAATTCTTATTGGCATTGGTGGATATGCAGAAAAACGTGCTCAACTCGTAGTACAATCTCATAAATTGTCTACCAAGGTAAACATAAATATTAAAGATATTAAATATCTTTGTTGTTATTTGCTAATATGTTATTAAATATGTTGTTTGCAATAATAAATGCCAATATTTTTAGGTTCTATGTTTACCTCATCCTAGTCCAAGAGCTGTAAATAATAAAAACTGGAATGAAAAAGCAACAAAAAAATTAAGTGAGTTTGGATTACTTGAATGTTTTACCAGTTAAGTGTATTTATTAATCCAAAGACATTTTGAAAAAGAATATTTTGAATTTTCAAATATTAGCCTTTTTGTGTCAGTGTTTAATTCTTCTAATAATTTAAAAAACAGTTAAAAGCTTATAGGTACTGTATCATAATATGGTGGATACATTGGGTTGGATGGATGTTGCATTACAAAAAGCAAATGATTCATTAAAAGCGGGAGAAGTTCCTGTTGGATGTTTGTTTGTATACAATAATGAAGTCATTGCTATAGGTAACAATACTGTTAATGAAACTCGTAATGCAACTAGACACGCTGAGATAAACTGTATAGATCAGGTCTTAGCATTCTGTAAAAGTAAAAATTTAGATTACAAAAATGTTTTTAATAATGTAGATGTAATAGTTACTGTTGAACCATGCATTATGTGCACTTCTGCACTGTATCAACTGTCTGTGCGTAATATTGTGTATGGCTGTGCAAATGACCGTTTTGGTGGATGCATTAGTGTTTTTAATGTACCTAAACTTTATAATTCAGAAACAAAGATATTAGGTGGTGTTAAGAGCGATACAGCAATGGCTTTGTTAAAAGAATTTTACAAAGGTACAAACCCTAATGCACCTAAATCAAAAGTAAAAAAAGATTGCAAATTAAAAAAGTGTGATAATCATTAGAGGTATAATTTTAAATGATTCTTTGTTCCATTTTCATAAAACTAATGAATAGACAAGTGGTTCGTAATTTTCATTTTGACAGTATATATATATAAACGATACAATATACAGTATACTTACAAACTTATTCTTCCTAAAAATTAAAATATGTGCAGCAAGTATAAAAAACGTATTGTATTTGTTAATTTTTTATACTTATTTATTTTATAATAAACTATTATAAAATTATTTTAGCTTAAAAGTATTTATGAACACCATGAGTGGTCTATTTCACATTTTCCTTGGTACCATCTGATTAATAACTGATTCCTCAGTGTATAATCTTTTAGCACCATATTTTTTGTCTGAAAACAATGATTATTTTTTGTAAAAAAAAGATTAATTATAATCATATTTCTCAGAAGACGACTTACTATCGGTGGTGGAAAAATCCTCTGAAAGTCCATTTTATTTTGATGTTCATTATAACTTTGGGATAAGATGAGTTTAGTTTCAGCCGTGAAACATGGTTTACAAAGCTGACATTCTACACGGAAACAATCGTTACATTCCATACAGAGTTCTGGGAGAACTACTAAATTTTTATCAGCTATTATCATTTGATCTTCTACCTGACTTCTAAAATAAAGGATAAGTTTATGAATCACTTTTAATTTAACTTCGTATCATATTTGTTCTAATTTCTACCTTATTTTCAAGGAATCTTTTTTAAGTCTTTGTCCAACACCGACTAAAGCAAACAAATTATATATAACTTGTTCATAAAGCAATTGATTTGGCTGATAATGCGCAGAAGATAGATTTGGAGACATATTAGCTTCCATGGTATACACATTCAAATTCTCATCAAGGGCAAAGTCAAACCGAACTAATTCAAAGAAATTTCTTCCATTTCCATAACGTTCCACAGCTTCTTTGATATATCCTTCTTTTGCCAAAGTTATTTCTCTTATTGCTTCGTACATAGCGCTCCACACTTTCTGGGAATCACTTCCAAGTGATCTTACATAGGCATCAAACGAGTCTTTCATTGAAAACCCTAATGTAGTGTAGTAATGTTTTAAGGAAGGAACATTCCATATTGGTAAATAATCATCTCCAACTACATACTTATCTAAAACTTCTGCATTAAATGGATGATATTTTATGGGACAAAATCTAAATAAGACATCACCTTTATATATGTACACTCTAACAGGATCAATTGAAGTGATTACAGTATACACTCCAATGTCAAATTTATAGCCATCAACAAGAAATGGTTGCTGTATGAACTCCTGGACGAATGAACCAGTCACTGCAAGATTTATATCGCTTATATTTTTTACTCTAATACCGCGATGGTCATTGGACTTCTCCACAAATATTTTTTTAGGATGTTCGTCAGCATGTTTCAAGAATTCATCTCGTTGTTCTGGCAATTTGAACGCCGGAAGTATGTATTGTCCTTTAGTTGTTGACAAATCTACTTTGTTTGTAATATATCCACAACCGGGAAAATGATTAACTCGTTGATGATCTTGTAATTTACTTAAGTTAGAAGATAGAACTCTGAATGGATAGTCATGAGCCCATAATAAGTCCCAATTTGAATCGTTATTGGTCTCTTTAAAACCCAACCGGTCAAGAACGGTGACTACGTGCTTTAAGTATCCAGTATCATTACTTCTTGCATATATCCTATATATTGGTCTCTTTTCTTCTACTTTGATTATTTTCGTATGTATCCTTACTAAATTTTCTTGATAATGTAGATAGGCAAAAAAGAGGCAGTATAAAATTATCGGGCCTACTACGGAATATAAACAAATTTTTAGAAGCGTTTTCATTTTTAAACTCATAATTTGAGCACAGTCTGTATAATCGGTATCCTGTAATATCAAAGGAATAACTTAAATAAATATGCATTTTAAATAAAAAATATTTTACAATGAAATAGATTATTATTAATATTACGAACCCCTGTCTCATCCTCTTTTTCCTGTTTTTTCTGGTCGGACATGATTGAATATATGATTCTAGTATCATTTGTCGATGCACTTGCGACTGAGTGTAAAGTATGTCTGTTTAAAACGCCAAGTCGTAGCCAACGAAAGTACCGTTGTAATTATCCCCGCTATGTCGTTCGTCTCTCAAGTGGGACATACATACAGCGAAAACCGGTTCGTATTCATAGATCGTTTACTGTGTTCTGATTTTTCTAAATTTATAGTTGCAATACTCAAAAATACTTATTGTAAAACTATATATTCTTATTAACATTTTTTTTTATATAACAATAGTTCGATATTGCTATATTGCAAAAAATATTCACTAATAAAATAAAATACACTGATGAATGTTATTTTTACATATTTTAAATACATATAATTTTTCACGCATTTTCTTAATCATAATTCTAAGTTCAATTACATACTTCGTATAAGTAAGGAAATATACATTTTATGTACTTATACCATGTCTGATGAAACTTTTATTTTATTTAGAAGATCATATAACTTCTTAGATGTGCATTGCCCACTTATTATGAACAATCTAAACTGTACTATTAATTTTATAGATTTACATACAATATACGTATGTAAATATATACGAATGTTCGTAATTATTGTACAAAATTATCTAATACAAACTATTAAATTCAAATAAAATATTGTAATATTATATACGAAAAAAATTATATGTCAATAAAATGCATTTGAATAAAAGAATATTTAAACTTTAACGGAAATTACATACAGCGCTCCATGGCGCAAACATCGTGGTACATGATGTTTCTTACTTTCCTGTAGGTTCCTGTCTTTCACGTCGTTGAATTGATGCAACGAGGATCTCCTTAACGAAGAAATGGGTTTTCTAAATATTTGGTACTCGCATCCGCGAAAGTATGGTCAAGGATCTAGATCCTGGTATGTACTATCTCAATTTACATTAATGTATAATAACTTTATAGTTTATGTGTTAACAATTTCATGGAATATATTTGACCGCATGTTACTATAGTTTACATTTATTTGTTACCACGATATTTCCTTAATTGCTGAAGAACTGTACAAATGATTGTAAAAATTAAAATGATTACTTAGCTAGTGCACAAAAATGAGTATATAAATTCATTAATTTATATTGTAAATGTAAATTGAGTTCTACATATTATTAATCATAACCTTAAAGTTGTGTTATTGTGAATATTACTATAGACATTACTAATGTTGCAGCTATTTTTTAGTATTATTAATTTAATATACTGTTTAAATAAAATAATCCATTTTGCAGTCGAGCTTGCGCTAATAGGCATGGATTGATCCGCAAATATGGTTTAAATATTTGCAGACAGTGCTTCAGAGAATATGCAGCTGACATCGGTTTCAAAAAGGTAGGTATAATACCAAATTAGTTTTCTATTCTTAAGCCCTTTACATACAAATTAAACACATAACAATGCATCCCAAAAACACTATTTAATTTAAATAAAATATTTATGTCTAAATGTTATTCGATAAGTTGGTTATACAATATTGCAATAATTAAATAACAATATTATATTTATTAAAACAATAATTCAACAATATAAACAAAAACAATACAATGTATGATCAAAAGCCTAAAATAGTACATTAAACAAGTAATATCTATCACACATTATTATATGCCAAAGGTTAAATGCTTCATTAATGTGTACATGTTTAAAGCTTTTCCACAGGTATCATGCCAATATTACAATATTTTATATTTGCAGCTGGATTAATGGAAAAATAACATAGCATCCAGAATTTCCTGAAGAACTACATGCTGATTTTACATACAACAAGAGAAAACACTCGTGGTATCCTAAAAAAAACTTCAAATTTTCTGTTACGCATGTATCAAGTACATAAACTGTTAAATGACTAACTTGTAATATATTTAATCCATGAATAAAAAAGAAGTACAATTTTATTTATATACATATCATTTATTACATGGTTTTTATTTCTCTAATTATTATTTTTAGAAAATGACACAAAATAAAATACAGTGATAAAATCGTAATCGCAATAATCTCTGAAAATACATGTTCCAGATACAGATTTACACAAATTTTTCGATGATCTGGTAGGTGATGAAAATCGCAGTTTATCAAGATCTTAGACCTGTACCTATAATGAATCCAAAGATTAAAGATTTTTAGTTTTCTTGATACCTGTTACATGGTTATACAAAAATCAATATTTATTATTCTCGATTATATGATTCCGATCAATTATGTGCATTTTTTTTGTTGTACCATTTTTTCAGGTTTGTTTACAAATCTTATTACGAGGGCAGCACTGTTGGGTAGCGAATCATTGGCCAATTAGAGAAAAGTAATTTTTTCGATTGTTTCCCATACTGCCTGGCATAAAAATCATACGTTTATAGTTATTAAAATGTAAATACAATTAATAAACGTAACTTTTCATTCAAAATCAAATGAAATAAGCGATGTAATATAATTTTAAATACTACAATAATTTTACATAAATACAATTGTGTCACACTGAATGCAAGTCTTCTATGAGTTACTGTGTCATGTGTGTTACAGTGTTTAAGGGTTTGAATTAAGTTAGGTTATGTTGTGAATATACAAGGATTATTAAAAGTTAACATGGAAAATCAAAACGGCACATCTGTTAAAAGTAATAATCCTGCTCCTACAGTCGAGCAGATTAATGCTGATAGAATAACACAGGTATTTGTTGTTAATAAACATATTTCTTCGTCGTTCACTATTGCAAAAATAAAGTTCCTAATTCTACCTTCATTACAGCTTGCAAACAAGTATTGGGCACCTCATACAACAGATTCACATTTATCTTTCAATCCTCAAATAGTTGAAGATATTTATGTTCAAGAAATATGCGCATCTAAGTTCTCGATTCGCAGGATCATGATGCTAGAATTTAGTCAGTATCTGGAGAATTTTTTATGGCCAAATTACAATGCAAACAATGCAACTCGTGCTCACACTATGTCCATTGTTGTTATGGTCAATGAAAAGTTTCGTGAACGTGTTCAAGTTTGGGAGGCATTTGAGAAGAATCCAGAACATTTTCCAGAATTCTTCCAAAATGTTTTAGAAGCTTGTCTAGAAGATAGTATAATGGATTTTGATTTAAAAGAACAGACAGCACTGATTGTATTTCTAAATCATTGTTTTAATTCTATGGAGATTTCATTAGTTCGAGAAGAAGTGAAAAGATTAGTCTCGCTGTCTATGTGGATTTCATTACAACAAGGCCGTAGAGAATTGGAATTTAAAAAATATCCAAT